AAAAACCTCCCAAAAAAAAAAAAAAAAAAAAAAAAAAAAAAAGATCCCCCGAAGTGACACATGGTTTCTGACAGACTTGGAGTGTCTGACTGGGCTGCTTCTGGGGACCAGATGTTTTGGTAACTTGTGAAGCCCACAGGCTTGGAGCCTTTGTTCTGAGGTTGGTTTGCATGCTATTCTGCATACCCAAGGTAGTGCCATCGGCTGGGGTGGGGAAAGTGCTAGGGGGGCTTGGTGCAGGAGCTGGTCCCAGCAAAACCCTTAAGAGGGTCCAGGTTGGGGCACCACTTGAACTGTGATACTCAGTTGCTCCGAGAAGGGAGTGTATCATGGAGAATCCTCTCTGTTGTCTTTTTTTTTTTTTTTTTTTTGGGGGTTTTTTTTTTTTTTTTAAGGCACCTTGTGCTCACACGGGCAAAAAAATCACTCCCCTGGGAAGATGGCCACACCATAATCCCGTCTCCTCTATTCTCCACCAAGGAGACATTTGGCTGATTCAGTCAAATTTCCAAGAAACAAGTCTTCCAAGCCTGAAGACAGCCTGGCCACCACAGCCTCCGATCACATGCATGATTAGGCACACATGCACACACGCACACTTGGTGTGAGTTTTAAGCCATGAGCCCTGGTCTTGAACCACAGTCGACCATGTGGGAGTTCAACGACACAACTGCTACACCATCTGCTGGCCCCGGCCCCTCATTTTTTTTTTTTTTTTTAAGAATTATTTTATTTAGGGGCAGCAAGTGGCTTGGTGGTTAAGGGCTCTAGACTCCCACATGGCTGACTGTGGTTCGAGTCCCAGACCTGGTGGCCTGCTTTCTCACTTTCTCCCTCTCTCTCTCTCTGGTCAAATTAAAATAAATAAATAAGTAAAGTTAAATAAAAAAATAATTCTTTGAAAAAATAATTATTATTTTATTTGGGGCCTGTAGGTGGCGTGATGGTTAAGGGTGCTGCACTCCTACATGGTCAACCACAGTTCGAGTTCCAGGCTAGGTGGGAGAAGCACTCAACTTGCTGGGAAAACTCTTACTTTCCCTCTCTTTCTCTCTCTTGCTCTTAATAATTTTTAAATTATTAAAAATAATTCTTTTTTTAAAAGAATGTTTTCTTTAACTTTATTCATTTATTTTTAAACAATTATTTTATTTAACTTTATTTTATTTATTTTTTTAGGGGGAGAGATTTTTGCTATAGGGCATATGTGCTCGCCAAAAAGACAGAGACAGAGAGACAAAAAGTGAGAAATCATCGCCTTGGGGGATGGCCATGCTGCAATCTCTTCTCCATTCTCCTCTCGGGATCCTGGGCATGTACGCACATGCGCCCAGTGTGAGTTTAAACCACTGGGTCTGGGACTCGAACCATGGTTGACTACTTGGGAGTCCAGCAACATAGCCATTATGCCAACTGCTGGTCCCTATTTTA